CTTTCCCTGAAAACTGAGCTCTAGCTGCAAAGCAAAAATGCTTCATGACTATATTAACTTCCTCTGGGGCTTACTGTCACTAATGCTGGCAGTAGAGTGAAGTGCAAGCGTTACCAGAGACCAGCCTGCTTTGGAAAGCAGCTGACGTAGCACAAGCCTTGCCCGAGCAGCTGTGGGCTGGGCTGTGGGCAGCTCGGGCTGCTGCTGTGGGCCAGTGGGATGTGCTACACCAGGAGTGGCTCTCAGGGCACCAGGCAGGTGCTGGCAGGGGGGCTGCCTTGCTTTGGGGCAGCCCTGGGCTGAGGCAAGGGACTCGAATGCCCACCACAGCTTTGCTGTTAGTGAGTGCCTGCCAACCTGAGCACTCCCTGCCACAGCTGCTGCAAAGCACGGTGAGGAGAGGAGCAGGAAAGCTGCTTCAAAAGTGACACCTCCAGCATATGTGCATTGGGGTGATAGGACAAACATTTTCAGAATATAGAAAAGTACTTCATTGCGCATCAGTCTTTTCTTTTTACCAGTGCTTTCTGTGCTTTGTCCTGTATTTATTTCCCGTTTCTCTGTATTTACAGAAAAACCCAGAGGAGGACAGCTCAGGGAAAACCTTAAGTTGGGAACCAGGTCACTTGCTTTTAACCATCTACACTGTTCGCAGCATTGAGCAGCTTTTGCCTTTCTTCAATGTACTCAGCCAAGTTTTTAACAGCAAAGTCACAAGCAGATGTGTTGGACACTCAGGGAGCCCTGTCCTTTACCCCAACTGTTTTCCAAGTAAAGACATTAAAATGGAGGACCTCAAAACCTTCTCCAGCAAAGCAAGGCAAAAGATAGAAGAAATGGTTGAGAAGGATTTTCTTGAAGGCATCATAAAAACATGAACCAAACTGGTACTACTCGGCTTAGATGTAGTGTAACTATTTAAATGAAATTCTGTATCTTTCCCAGTTGTATAGTATTCTTTTCTTACTTTGTATGTAATGAAATACTTAATGTTGTATTTAAGTTAAATATTTGTAAATAAGAGAAGTTCTGGATGTGGCCTGAATCAAGTTTAAATATTGGTGGCTCATATTGATTATGGTGCCTACTATTTACAGTACATGTTTTGTTGTCTTGAGTTTCGTCTTAAAAAAAAAATCCTAAAAAAAATAAATACAAGATACACATTTTTTTCAATTTGTTTCCAGTTTTATTTTTGTTCTTTTTTTTAAATCATTGGAACTTGTGCTTATTTAGCAATCTGGAAAAATGCCATCATACCAGGAGTGAATACAGGACTACAATGAAAAATATGTTTGTCAGAGGTAGATACCCTGAACTAAACTTATGTAGAAGAGGAGACTTGTGTATTTAAAACATTATAGCCTGTTGGCCCTGCCCCTTCACACTGCTAAGCAGTAGTAAGGCCTCTAGAAGACAAATTACTCTGTCCCTTCTCTCTTGAAAGTGATTATAAACAGTATTACTGGACATTGCTCTCTAAGCAACACTTTATAGCTTCTGGTGAAGATATTATTGTGATAATGTTATTTGCAAATGCTCTTTGATTATATCCTATCCCCCTTGAATTGAGGTGAATTGAATCTCAAGACCCATGACAGCCTCTACCTTAACAGTGTTTGTCCACAGATGCTTGAGTTGTTGTGGGAAGGCAGGGAATGATGTCTCCACAACACCTGGCTGTGCTGCAGCTACTGTGGGTGCAGTTGCATCAAACGCTGCCAGTGCAGGTGAGCTGGGCATGTGGGACTTGGACTTCAGGCACTTAGCTGGGCATGTGGGACTTGGACTTCAGGCACAATGTGACAGTAACTGAAGTAATAAGCTAGGTGGGGGGGGCAAAATTCCTTCTGGGGATGACCAGGCTCCTGACTGCCAAGCACTGAATCATCTTCTAGTCACTTCATCTTCAGACGTTAGAACTCAGAGGTGGGGAAAATACTGAGCAGCAAGAACATCTCATTAAGAGGTAAGTTGCTAATATAGAGGTAAAGAATAAGCAGAAGAATATTCTGCTCAGTTCTGATTAATCTTGGCTACTCTCAGGAAGGAGCCCACATTAGCAGATTGCAAAGGAATATAAGAAAAATGAGTCAAGTTATAAACTGCAGTTATATAGGCTGGGGTGGTGCTCCTCTTCCACCAGCCAGGTGGTAAACAGCCAGGCTCACTTCATGGGCAAGGGCATCTGCATTCTCCTGTGGAATGTTTGAAGAGTTAAGTACATTGGTCTCAGCATGAGAAGGTTACAGTAAATATGCAAATATGGGCTGCTTTGGTAATTTTCTTCTTAAGCCTTTAAGAAGGCTTATTTTTTTTCAAAATCATCTAGTGTCAAATCTGCCTTTATAACATTTACCTTTTACTGTTAAACACTGAGAACATGAAACATCACTTTTATAAATAAAATGCATAGACTTTTTGTGATCACACTAAGGGTTCTCTTCCAAATTTAGCCCCTGTTAAGTGCGATTAAATTATGAGTATGTAAACATACCTCTAATGCTAAGATTGTTTAATATAAACAAATCTACTTCACATACAAGTTGTTTAAGCTCTGACCTGTGTGTCTGCTTCAGCATATATTCTCACTACATCTTCTGTCCCTGATGGGCGGACAAAAGCTCGTGACAATTTGTACTTCTTTACAAGCCCATCAATTTTCTCCTGCAGTCCCGGAGGTGTAACCGCACGCCTTTCTGCATCCACTGTGGCAATAACTCGCCTGTCTGCAACCTGTGGCATCAGAAACAGCCAATTTATTTGTTTGCTGGAGCTGTATGAATGAAAAAGGTCACAGGTTTTGATGTATTGCACTGCATGTAGAAGAGCTCCATTTGGGAGTTCCCCACTGAACTCCAACACTTGAAGATCCCTGCTTAGCTACTGCCCAGCATGTATTAACCACATTCTGATAGGACTCAGCTGCTTGGTTTGGAAAAAGAGTCGGTTTCAGCTTTAAAATAAAGTCTACCTAAACAGCTGTAGGCAATAGCTGCTCATAGCAGGAGACCAAGAGCCTAGTGTGAGGAGCCAGTGAAGTGCGTAGCTCACCTGAACTTTGAGCAGCCGATTTGGAAGGTCAGTGTAGAGGGTGTCCCACTGTTGCACAGTCAGACCTTTCAAAGCCAGGATTGCTTCAATAACCAACATGTCTGAGATAGCATCACCAACTGTCTGTTAACAGGAAGGGAAAAAACACCAGAGCAGTCACCAGTGAAGAATCAAAGGCATGATTTGATCAGCAAGCTTCCAGCTGAGGAGAGTGAAAACTGTAGCCAGACTGACTTGTTTTGGGTGGGGGGTGAAATGCTGCTGTTTTGTTTTTTCCTCCTTACCAAGGAGAACACCACCATACTTGTACAGCTCTGCTAAGGGCAGGTGCTAGTCCTCAATTCTCCTAAGAGGACTAGGACCTCACCTTTGCTACAGGGTCAGGACACTTAAAGCTGGCCTGTGAATTATGAAGAACATCTGTGCTCTCTTAAAAGGGAGTCCCAGGGCTGTGTGGACATGGACACCAGAAAGCCCCCATCCTCCCATATCACATAGAATAGTGAAAAACACGTTATGAGAGATAACTTGCTGTTGAATCATGTCACGTCCTATCAATCACTAGGTTCCTGTGCTTTCCCAGTCCCTCTTTGGGTCCTGAAGCCAAAGACTGCACCAGATAAAAGCTGCTACCCTCTTCTTGGCCCCTTCTCTTATGGCACCCCAGCAGTCCAGGCACTCACAAACATACATAACTGTCAATATAGTGATTTGTTTCTGTTTCTACCTGATTGATGAGGTCAATCATGTTTTCAAGCACCTTTGCTGCTTCTCTTTTTTCACCATCTTTTTCCTCTTTTGCCAGTTGCCTTATTGTAGTTTCAGCATCTTTACTAAACAATACCTAGAATAACAAGATGAGAGCTTGTCAAGATCAGCCCTAGGATATGCATGGCCATGTGGCAAAAAACCTTTGTTAAGCCCAAATAACCCATCAATAATGTTTCTTGCCACATACCCACATAAAACAGTGGAGTTGGTGGCAATGGTATGATAAAGACAGAGGGGGAAGTAAGTCAGTCTGCTCTCAAACAAGGTGAGAAAAGTCCTGATTATAAATGTAAGCAGAGAGTGAAATGACCTCCAGCTAATCCAACTAAAATGTTGTGCCTACGGGCTGATTTTATGCATTATTTGCTCATACTTACTGTACCGTGGCCGTTTGCTTCAAAATACACACCAATGTCAAACTCCTGGGCCTTGTGATGCAAGTGTTTCACTCCAGTTTTGACACAATGCACAGGTACCTGCAGCCGAAGGATATGAGGAGAGTGTAGAGTCACAGCCTTTTCCCAGTAGAGGGGAACTGCAGGTGAAGTGCCAGGAATGCAGCACCAAGGCAGACAGACTGTTACAAGCTAACTTGTGCTTCACAGCTACTGACTCCCCAGAGCTAAGATTATCCCCTATTTCTGCAAACCCAATTAAAAAATATTTCATTTATTTAAGTGGAAATAAGGCTAATTTAAAAACAAATAGACAAACAAACAATACACCCATCCAAGAAAAACTCATTTTATGGTTTCAGGGAACATACCAGCTTTCTATCCAAACTGAAATAATAACATAGCTCTACAGTTTCCACAGTGACCAACATTTAGCCTGCTCCAGAACATGAAATAGTGTCACAATATCAAGGAGCCTTTGCTGACCCGCTGTGTGGCCAAGCCATACAACTTATTCCAGAAGAAACAAGGGAATCCATTTAACTCTTGCCAAACTTTTTTAGACTTGTAAAAGTTAACTGGAACCTTTTCAGCTTTGCTCTCTTGCATCTCCTTTTAAATTTTATTTCAAATTTCATTTATTTTAGCCTAGTTTAAGTATTCCTAGCTATCATATTACAGTAGCATTTATTTTAAAAGTAAACAAATTTGCAGTAAACAACAGTTGCAGAAAACTATCAGGAAAATAAAATGAAGAATACCTTCAGTGTTTCTTCAAGGTAGTGTGTTGAACTCCCGTTGGCATATGCTGTTTGTACCACTGCCATCTTTAAGGTCTGTCCCACCTGAGCAAACCAAGACAAAGTGATTTACTGCCCAACAGGCACATAGCCAGACAAGTAGGATAATAACAATGATTAAAAATACATTATCCTACAAACACAAGTCCTGGGCATCAGAGGAAGGCACCAGCTCACAGAGAACTTCTGTACATTTAAGACAACATGAACTCTGTTCAGGTCTTTGTATATTGTGTTTTCGGTGGCTGGCTGGAAGCAGCTCTCCAAGCTTAGGTTTTCCAAACCCCTTTTTCAGATTTAGCAAGCTCAGTGCCCTGGCCAGACACATGGTGTTGCATGAGGCCACATACACAAGCAGTAAAGTCAAAGCTCCCAGTGCAAAGCAAACAGGCTGGTGGCCAGCACAAGTTCTCACTGGCCAGTTTCTCGGCCACACTGTGAGAAATAAGCTTGTCTTTAAATAAAAAAAACACAACAGAATACCTTGTCTAGGTTTAGTATCATAGACACCGAGTCTAAGAGAACTTCTAGGAAAAGAAAAGCATTTTCTCACTATCCCCTGTGGGGATAGGATGCTATGCAGCAGATATAGTGGTTTCGGTTTTGGAATGATGACATACAAACCCCTTGATTGCCACAACCAAGTTCTCATGCAAATGGAATGCCCAAACTTCACAAAGCTTCCCAGAAATGCTGAGGGAAGGACTGAGCCCAAAATTAACAAAAAAATTGATGAAAGGTGCCAAAACAAGGAGAACTGAATATCAATACTTCATACACTGAAACTGGAAAAGTTCTCCCACTAAGAAAACATGCCAGATTAACTCAACAGTGCTCAGATTTTTATTTGGAGTGTGGAAATAAGTCACACCCTTATAAAAACAACATTTTGGCCATACCAATGAGGTACAGGACTGATGTCTTTTGAACTGGGTTCACTTTAGGTAGATGTAGAGAGACTTGCTACATACAAACTAACACAGTTTCCTCAGACTATTTTACACTTTACAAATTGAAGTGTCAGCATTCGCTTCATACGTTAGAGTTACCTTGGCAAGAAGTTCTTTAAGGAAGATACTAATTAAAGTTGCTATTTTATCTCCATCGATTAGGTGAAACTGGCCAGTTGCATCCTTATAATAATACACAATTCTATCTGCATCGCCATCAAATGAGCAGCATCTCTCATTGGGCTCCATGTCCAGCCCTAGTGCACACGGAGTTACAAATGAAAGTTACAGACAAGAAAGATACAAAATGTTTCAATAGCCTTAGATTTCACCTGGCAATCACTCTTCTGACACACACACACACAAAACTAATGCTCTGCAACAGACATGGCTTTTACTAGGAGACTTGCAACAGGGAAGCTATAAGGAATGGCAACTGAAAAGTGCATATTCAGATCAATAATATAAATACTAATATTGAAAATTCGGGCTCTCAAAACATTTACTATGCTACACCTTCTACCCAGATGTGTATGAAAATCCAGTTGATTCGTAAACTAAACATTGGTCTCAGTAACAATTTGTGAGCGTGGTGAGGAGGGGTATTTTTAGAATACTCTAGAACATGGTCCCACAGCAGTCGTTCCTCTGTGAGAGGTGAAGGCCCCATGTGAGCCCTCAGGGTCATTCACAAAGCCCTCCACATTGTGGGGGGAGTCACAGAAGTATCCCGATAGCCCCTGGCCTCGGCTCGTGACAGTGCTGACCGTCAATTATTGTGCAAGGTTAAAAGTCTTGCAGCCAGTGAACACCAAAGAGCACTTCCCTCATCCACTGAGTCACCACAGAGCATCCGGGGTTGCACACACCACCCCTGGTCTGAGGCAAACAGCAGTGAGGCAGCTTGTGGCAACACCCAGGGGACGGTCCTGCCTCACACCGGGGCAGGAGCCTGAAGCAGCAAAGGGAAGCTGGCTGACCTTGGCTGGACATTGAGAATGCATCCAGCTCTCTCTTGCCACTGCTCTGAGTGAGGCCACAGCACACTGCACATCCCTGGTCCCCAGAGACAAGTCACCTGCATTTATTTCCTGACATGTGGCAGATCCACTGCACACTCTTGGTATAAACCTCCTACATCCTTCACCCTCCAAGATACACGGGAGTTCACTATTTTTTTCCCTCACATCAAAAATGCTGTTCTTCAGAAAATATTTTAGGCTTGTTTAATTTTATTCCATTCCCACTTGACAGACCTGCACCTCCCCTTTGCTTCCTTTCACACAGGAGATGATACATTTTTCTAATGTAAGACAAGCGTGCACCCCCAGGCCAGCAAAGCCACCACTGAAGTGCAATTATAACAACAGGTGGCACATAAATCCCACCACTGGAAAAACTGCCCCTCTCCCAAACAACCATCACCAAGATTTCCAAGAGCTGTACAAGAACCACAGAAGTGGATCTGCTGGCTATAAAACATCTCACATCTAATTTGCCTCATACTCAATTTATCCAGTAATGTATACAATGTATAAGCAGTAGCTGCCTTAAAGAACATTCCAGGCTTAATGCCAATAGAGAAACAGATAGGCAGCAGTCACTGCTTGACACAGCAATGCCACACAGACATGAACTGCTCTTTTATTAACTTCCAAGTCCATTTCTTAGGAACTGCAGCTGGAAATTCCCTAGGCTGATTTCCCTCACTGGTTTCTGTCAATCAATTAGCCTGCTGGCGTTAAGCTGTTAATTATCCCAGATTTTCCTTGGGAACCCAGAAAAGTGTCCGCAGCACCACAGCCCACAATGTAAATGTTTCTTGAGAACACAAAGGGAAGTAAAGTAAATAACAATAAGCCAGTCCTGACTCATCTTTGAACTCCACCAGTTCAACATTCGGACTGGATTTTCAAACATATTTCAGGCAGTCAGAGACACACTGTACACCTCCATACAATTTAGATTAAGGTAAACTAGGGATGTGCCAAACCCAGTCACATAATTCTCTCTTTCCATCATCCAGAGAATCATGCATGCAGTCACTTGGCAAGAAATAGGGAGCTCAGCTTATTCAAAGGTGATACACAACATTGCTACACCCTGCCCTTTCAGACCTGGAGAGAAGGTAGAAGGAAATAAATTACTGACTTACGTACCTCTGGGTGGTTTCTGGTGAACTTTCACAAAATCTGCACCACATAGGTGATTGAGTTTCTCCTTAGTTCCATCATTATATAGGTGGATTAGCACCTCCTTCGGAAAGTAGGGCTTCATTTCTGATAGTTTTAGTGCTCCTATTCCATTGGCACAGTCAACCTTCAGGTGCTTCTGACTCTCTCCAGAGCTGGGAGACTTAGCACAAAGAAGAAGGGGCAGAGTGAACTCATATCCTAGCGAAACCACACCTAGAGGCATGTTGAATTTGAAACTTCAGGTTCAAATAGACTAGCAAACAGAAGATAATAATTTTGTACATTTGCATGAAGAAGACAGTACCCAGTATTCACCTGTTTTATCAGCTCTGTAAAAGCTTTGGATAATTTTTTGTAATAACCTTCCAGTGTTGCTTTCCCGTACTGCCCTTGGGTGTTTTGACAGCGGACCATGTAATGTAGCTGTGGTGTTGTCACCAGACCATAATCTAGCATAAAACAGAAGGCACAATATTCAGAAACAGAATACTGAATTCATCCTAAGAAGTTGTACAGTATTTGCTGTTGTACAATAAACTGACAAATTCAGTGCAGGAAACTCATATGAAACTTTTCAAGTTCTGTTATGAATAGATGAACCCCCTCGCCCGGCATTAAAGCCATACAACTACCCTGAAAGAAGAGAATTATAAGCAAAAATGGAAACTGTGTCTAAACTACTGCTTTAGGTCTACAGAACTGTCACATTCACATAGAAAACTTAAAATCAAACTAGAATTGCAAAAGTTTAACATACCATGGTACTGCCCGCCTAGAACGGAGATACCATCTATTACTGACTGTGAAAGTCTCTCACTGCTTGGCCTGGAAAACAATTACAGCTGGTAACCTTCAGGGAAGCTAGAAACAGCATTGGAAAGCTTTTGTGTATTTATATAGTTATACATACACAGGTAGCAGGATAGGCATTTGAAAACAAAACAAACAAAAGCACTTTCAAAAAAAACCTTCCAAAATCACCAATAAACCAAACATTGGCACTTCCATAAAAGCACCACAGTTCTACAGCATTTTGTAATTACCTGGTGTCTCTACCAATAAAAACTGAAGCATCTTTGTTCTGCTTTACTACTGCTTCTTGGCAGATCTCAGTAATTATTGTCTCTAGTTCTTGCTCCTCTGCATTTGCTAGTCGTGTGGCATACTCTTCCCAGGAAGGGTGCAGCATTTCTCCAAGAGGATCAACCAGTTTTACACCGTTATCTTCCTTAGAAGAAAAAAGAATGTAAGACAGTAAGCCTAAAAGTGGGAAACTTAATAAAACCTCTTTGAAGACAGCCAACACATGGTTCAATCACATTGCTTCTTTAAATGAGGAGCATTTCTGGGAAGCAATGGCTTAGCTGTTTGTTTAAACCTCCAACAAGCCCCCAAAATTAAATAAGCAGCATTTGAAGTAGCTGACATTTTCCCTCTTATAACTTTGATATGAAATTAATTTGACATTAATATGACATAAGGGGAAATTCTAACAACCTGGAATACTCCACAGCAGCAGAAGTCTAAATGTCCAATTTGTAACTGCTGTATCTCTTTATTTTTTAAACTTGCAGATTTTGCTCAAAAGTTCATCTCTTGAGAAGAGTACTCCTTGCTTGTCAGTGTTACTGATTGCCTGTTACAGAATTTCCACACAAGATAAAATTACACTTGTTTGTACAGGGAAAAGTAACTTCAAACTTGCTGGAGACCATATTCAAGCAAGCTAAACGTGCTTTTAGCAGGTGCAACTGCCTTCAGGATCTGGTCTCTCGGTGCCATGAAGAGCTTTGATTCCACCAGACTGAACACACCTACTTTCTTTTCCAATAAAAGGTTGTCCTTACTTCAGGATTGTGAGATGCTGTGACCATGATGCCAATGGTAGATGCCATGGCTTTGGACCTGAGAACTGCCAGCAAGCCCATGCGGAACATGACATGATCAAGCTGCTCAGCCTTGGCCCGAAATCCAGCAGTGCCATAATGAAGGGCAAGTCCAGCAGGCTTAGGATGTAACGCTGAGTATTTTTTAAGGGCTTCGGAGTCCATTTCTAGGGAAGGAAGCAACACAGGTGCACGTGAGAAAAGTCAAGTCACAGAATTCGTTTCGCGCTTTGCACTTTGATTGATTCTGAAGCCCACAGAGATCTGAAACTATTGCTGCCAAACCCCCTGCCGGGGGGGACCCACTATCAGACCAACCCTGAAGGAGTCTCCCCGTTCCCAGCACAGGGCTGGACAAACGGCCCCACCGGATCAGGAAGGGATGACACCGGCCGGGCGCGCAGAGCCACGGTTCCCGGGAACCCGGGCATCCCAACACAGCGCCTACCAGGGGCGGGCCGCTCCTCACCGCAACGCTCCCCGCTCAGCACACGCGGCAACGACCCCGCACCTTAACTCTTCAGTTCCAAAGCGGCCCGTCCCTCCTCTTCAAGCTCCCGCAACCGCAGCGACACGCCCCGCGGTACCACCGGGATGTTCCCACCGCAGCCCCAGAGCCGCCCTCGGGCCGCACCACGGCCCCGGCAGCCGCTTCCCTGCGGGGCTCGGGGGACACC